CGCTCCGGCAGCATTATTTTCCTGTGGCGAATATAACAGGGGCGTTCTCGCCGTTTGCCAGCCTTTTAAGATGCATCGAATCAAGGTGGTGGGTATGATGTCGGATGGCGACCTCAAGTGGCGGAGTATGAATTATTTCTTCCTTTTTGGCAACATCTTCTCACTTTTAGTCTTCAGCTCCTTCTCTTCCATCTCTATCTCCTCTATATCTATCTATCTATCTATCTATATTTATCTAACTATATATATATATATATATATATATATATATATATATATATATATATTTATCGATTTATCGATATCTGCCAGGTCTTATCTATTTCATTATTTCCATATCTATCTGTTCCAGTGTTCAAATCTGTCTCTTTCTCGCTGTCTGTCCCTATATGTCTGTCGCTCTCTCCGTATTTATATATATATATATATATATATATATATATATAATATATTTTTATTTTAATATCATTATCATATATATATATATATATATATATATATATATATATATGTGTGTGTGTGTGTGTATGTGTATATATATATATATATATATATATCTAAGTAAATATGTATCTGTCTTTTTGTCCGTCACTATCTATCTGTCTATCTATATATATATATATATATATATATATATATATATATATATATATATATATATATATATATATGCCATAACGTTTGTGTTCACTTTAATTTGATAAATTGTCTAAAAGTGCACATGAACTTTATGGACACCCTGAATATATCGGAATAAATATTTATCTGTCCGTCTCCTTTCTTTCTTTTTATATATATATATATATATATATATATATATATATATATATATATATATATATATATCAAGTTCAAGTCCTTATCTATATATCCATCTATCTCAATATGTCAATATATCAATGTCATTGTTCATATCTATCTGTTTCTCTCTCTCTCACCCCCTCTCTCTCTCTCTCTTTATCTGTCTGTCAGCCTATCTATCCCACTTATTATTATTATTATTATTAATATTTTTATTATTATTGTTATAATTTCAGTGATTATAATAAAAACATTTTGAAATAGCTGCCCAAAAGCTTTCATGTCTCAATACTATAATTGTACTTCTTCAGAAGATGGTAAGTAACTGGTGATTAAATGATTTTTAAGGAAATTAAAAAAAAAGTCTTTCCGAAAGTTAAAGCCGGGTACATAATGTCAGAATTAAAATTAGATTTCTGTGTATGTCTTGATTAACAAATTAAATATCAGATCTATGCTAAATAGAAAAGCTTTTATCTATATATCTATGTTATCGTAGATCTGTCTTTTAATTGGTTAATCAAGACATACCAACATGTCTGGAAAAGTTTGCAGCTATGTATCTATTTTATTACAGGAGGCTCAGATTGAAGAATCGGAGAGCCGGGTTCGAATTCCAGTCGAATCCATTACATTCACTTACGTATTAATACCCTTCGGAAAGGTATGAATCCTCTTCTTCTCCCCGAAGCTATTGGTAAATAGCATGACAGACTGGGTTTTATAGCCTTGGATGGCAACAGGTCTTGAAGAACGACAATTCCGAATTCAAAACCTGATCTTCCAGGTTGGGGGTTGTGCTGTAGGCTAACAAATTACTTAAAAACTGGCTCGTTAATAGAAACCGCAACGATATCTTGCGGCCCTATACTCTTTAAGTAATTTCAAGGCATAATATATATATATATATATATATATATATATATATATATATATTGTTATCAACAGAGAGACTATTTCGCTATATCACAGCTCATCAGTGTGGATAGACATCCGTTTGCCTCGAGCTAGGATCGAAACCCGTCTGAATTGGCATAACTTGGGAATTCTACCACTAAGCCGTTGGCGCACGGCAGAGATGAAGGTGAATCTAAGTGTTTTTATTTTTAGATAAACACACAGTGACTGAGAGAACTCGATTCGATTTATCAAAGAGTCTTGCATTATTAACCGTAATAGTCAGTTTACAAACCCATACTTCCTCCCCAGGGAGCTCAATATATATATATATATATATATATATATATATATTATCAATTAGCGATAAATTTAAATGAAATCATCAAATAATATCAATAAAATATATAAGTAATATATCTTTGGTTCAGGTCTTTAGAATTTTTGTACTACATATGGATCGCCATTATGCAATGTAGACAATTTGATCAGATATTGGAATTTAATATAATTATTTAATTAGCAATCTCGTTACTATAGGACAGAAAGTTAGAAGGTTAGAGCGGGCGAAGTTCATCTTGAATAAGTTGTAAAAAGATCTTAGATTAATATATATAGATATTTGAATTTATTTCAATCCTTCATGAGCTTCCCTTCCTTAGTTATCATCTTGAATATTTGAAAAATGTCTTGGAATATATATATATATATATATATATATATATATATATATATATATATATATATATAATATATATGAATGAACATTATTTATTTGTTTATGAGCTTCTGATACTTACCTATGATTAATTATTGATGAACATGTCATTTTCACTTATGATGTATTTTAAAACGATTCTTCTGTTAAGCCTGTAGAGGAATTGTACATTCTTATTGCTCGAAGTAGAGTCCAATAGGGTCATGAAACCCTCTGAGAATTGCAGTTAAATATCTTTAATTATTTCATTGAGAATTGTAGTAGTAAGGTATCTTTAAATATTCCTAAGAGACATGGGTTCAGAACTTAATCTAGCAAATGGACATTTTTTCTTTCTGTTACACAATCTGGACAATTTTGCTGTTACAACCCGTGTATATATATATATATATATATATATATATATAGATAGATAGATAGATAGATAGATAGATAGATAGATAAATAGATAGATAGATGGTAGTACTCGTTTGGAAAAACCTCGGATAGCTAAACTTGCAGTAAAAAAATCGGTATCCGAAGATAAATAGGAAATAAAAAAGAAAGAATCAAGAACATTAAACCATGGCGAAAACAATCGTCTAGTGTTTAAGCTCCAAGTCCAAAGAAAAAAAAAAAACGAGTAAAAAGACAACTACGTAAATTGCTCAATACACTAAGTAGAGCAAGACCTAAGATAATCCTAAGATCCAGGAAAACCTACCTAGGTTTCACCTAAACGGATTTTCAGCTTCCTTGAGTATCCGTTTAGGGAGGTTAGCCTGGCTCCTTAGGATTATCTCATATATATACATATATATATCATATATATATGATTATTTATTTAAAAATATGATTCCAACTTTGTATCTAGCACTATTTTAAAAAAATAATAACTAAAATACTAAGGAACTTTGGATTATTTACCAAACCAGTTCCTTCCTATTTTCTATATATTTTCACACACACACACACACACACACATATATATATATATATATATATATATATATATATATATATATATATATATATAAATGAGTGTGTGTTGTTTGTATGTGTGTGTGTGTGTGCGTGTGATACACTAGGTATAGTTGCATAATTTTGTTCTTTTAATGTCTGTAACATTTTGCCTTACTAGAGTTAGCTCCCTTTGAATCATTTTCTTTTAAACTACGTCTCAGTCTGTTTGCTTGCGTAATTATAGGAAGGAAATATTCACAATGCGTTACTACTTTAATGAAATCCATTCTCACTGTTTCTTCTTTTTTCTTCTTCTTCGTCTGAAGCTGACTGTTGCTGGGGTTTTTTTTTGTTTTTTTTTGTCTCTTTTGGTGTTGCTGGTGATGTTAATTATCATCTGAAAATAATCCTTCTTTTTCTTCTTCTGCTTCTTCGTCCTATAGGTTATTATAGTTGTTCTTTTTCTTTTTCTCATTCTTCTTCTTCTTTTCTTCTCTTCTTCTTTTCCTCAATTTTGTTATTTTAACTGTTCTTCTTTTTCTTCTTTCCCTCAATATTGTTGTTCTTCTTCTTCTTTCTTTCAAACCTGTTGTTGTTGTTGATGTTGTTTTTATTGTTTTTGTTCTTCTTATTTCTCTCAATCCTGTTGTTGTTGTTGTTGCTCTTCTTCTTCTTCTTCTTCTTCTTTTTTACCTCTATCCTAATGTTGTTGTTGATGATGATGATGTTGTTGTTGTTGTTCTTCTTCTTCTTCTACTTCTTCTTTCCCTCAATCCTGATGTTGTTGATGATGATGATGTTGTTGTTGTTCTTCTTCTTCTTCTTCTACTTCTTCTTTCCCTCAATCCTGATGTTGTTGATGATGATGATGTTGTTGTTGTTGTTCTTCTTCTTCTTCTACTTCTTCTTTCCCTCAATCCTGATGTTGTTGATGATGATGATGATGTTGTTGTTGTTGTTCTTCTTCTTCTTCTTCTACTTCTTCTTTCCCTCAATCCTGATGTTGTTGATGATGATGATGATGTTGTTGTTGTTGTTTTTCTTCTTCTTCTTCTTCTTCTTTTTTACCTCTATCCTATTGTTGTTGTTGATGATTATGATGTTGTTGTTGTTGTTGTTGTTGTTCTTCTTCTTCTTCTTCTTCTTCTTTCCCTCAATCCTGATGTTGTTGTTGATGATGATGTTGTTGTTCTTCTTTTTCTTGTTCTTCTTCTTCTTCTTCTTTCCTCTATCCTGTTGTTGTTGTTGATGATTATGATGTTGTTGTTGCTCTTCTTCTTCTGCTACTTCTTTTTCTCAAGCTTACTGTTGCTGTTTTTTTTTTTGTTTTTGTTTTTTGTCTCTTTTGGTGTTGCTGGTCTTGTTTTTGACGCTTTTGATGGTGTCACATCTAGTTCTCTCTTTCTTTTTTTTCACTTGGATCATCATCATCATCATCATTACCACCACCACCATCATCATCATCATCATCATCATCAGTATCATCATCATCGTCGTCTTCTTTTTTTTCTCTCTCCATTTCTACCATTTTTTTCTTAGCCATTTAAATTTCTATCCCTCTTTTTATTCCTCTTCCTATTATTTGCCATTCAAATCAAATCCACAAAGGAAGAGAAAAGAAAACACTCTTTTCTCTTCTTGACACCAACTCATTCCAGATTCGATGCTTCATTGCTTGTTATTCTTTCTCTTTGCATTTCCATCTTTTATTTTCCTTCTTTGTTTACATTTCTTGCCGCCATTTGCATGACATATTTTCTCTTTTATTTCTTGCTTCTTATTTTATCATTGCATTCACACTCTCTAAACTTCTTTTTAACTTATTTTGAATGTATTTGAATGAAGTTAATTCTGACACAAGGACATCTTTTCACAGAGTTAGCCTTTACTTTACCCGATGCTATGTCATAATTCCAAAATTAACTTCTCTAATTTTATCTTCCTGATCTGCATTGTGCCTGACCATATTGATATTTGTTGTATCCTTAAAGAGGGTTACAAACAGACAAATGTGCTACTCGAGTGAACGAACAGCAACACGTGCGTAGATGAAAGAAAGAGAGGTTTATTTTAAAAGAGAATACACTACTGAAAGACAGGAACTCGGGTGGCAGGCTAGTAATTCCCGTGGCAGGATGAGGCACAAGACCGTTTTTAATACGGGGCCAAAACCGAGCACGAGCACTGTCTACCACACCAGACGAGACACTGCCTTTCGGCAGAGCCTCGTCTGGGTTCCTCCCTGCCCAAAGACAGAGAGTTCGACCAGCACAGTCGTAGACGAATCTCCAACTAATTGCGAGAGCAAAGTTGTTTAACTTACCTCCTCGCGAGGCAGGATGTGGCACAAGGCCGTTTTTAGTGCGGGTAAAAAAAGTGAGCCCATAGGCTCTGGCAAAATTCTCCGTAAACACAGTATACACAGGGTCGGGTATGCTGTCTACTACCCTAGACGAGACTCTGATAGCCTCATCTGGATTCCTCTCTGCCTGAAGAAAGTGAGTTCGACTAGCACAGCTGAAGACGCATCTCCAACTAATTGCCGAAGCAAGGTTATTTACCTTACCTCCCCGCGAAGCAGGATGTGTCACAGGGCCGTTTTTAATGCGGGGTTCGAACCGCCCCGTGGTCTCGGGCAAAAATTCGCCGTATACTCCGAAGTAAGCCCCCCCGCACCCGGTATATCCTATGCCCACTATATATAGCCACTGATATAGTCAGTCCACATAGGCAATAGGGAGTGTGGGACATTCCGTTGCAACACAGTTAAAGTCTGGCATGAGCAAGGGGTTATGGAACACCGACATCTTAGTTATTTTTTTTTACATCTATTGCTCCAGTACTTCTGACAAGCATCAGTTAAAATCCGTAATTACATAGTTTTCGGGGGATAACTCAGGTAATACTCATACAGCTTTCTCACAGTAAATAACATAGCGCAAATATATCAGATTGTTCAGAACTGAAAGAGCAAAATACAATTTCGTAATGGTCGTTGATAAACGTAAATAAAAAGGAGTATAAGAAACAGACATATTCAGGATTTACACTAAGGAGATCCTGAGAGAATTAGGAGTCCTGCCAGGATTTATAATCGTCAGTCATAAATCTAACAATATAAGATATACTGAGGAAACTGTATTGATAGCGGACGTGTGAAGAAAAATCACTCAGTCACTTATGTTCCATACGTGATACACACGATCATGTATCTTTCGATACATGACTGACATGGCAGATTTTTTCCCGCAGTAGGTTACCATTTTTTTCTGCGATAGATCCGTTGCCATTCCATGCTACAGCACCCAATCTCTCCTCCTATTTATTGTCTAGTTATGGTATATGCTGTAAGCTTGAATATTCGGGTGATTTTAACGGACAACGTTTAGGATTTGGAAATCAGAGTTCCAATTCTAGTCGTTACGCGCAAATACTCTTGTTAAAGTCATGAATCCAATTTGTCTTTGGATTTATTGGTAAAAGCGAGAATCATTAAAATAATTATTATCTCCAAAAGATTCTTACAGTCTAAAAATATTTTCTGGCTTTAAATAACCTGCAAAAGAGAAGCAGAACTCATTTTGTTGGCAATATTACCGCTTGAATTCAAGAATGCTACGAAACGTTTGGTATGGTTTCATGTAATCATAACTAGCAATTTCCTTTCTCGCACTTCTCACACGTGGAATCCTCCTCCGGTTTCTTGCTTCCCTGCCACCTGCAATCTTGACAAATTTAAATGCAACGTCAATCGCCATCTTCTGTCTTCCTGAGTCTTGTTGATTTTTTTTTTTTTTGTCCTTTTGTCCTTAATGATTCATTGTCATTCTCTTCTCGTCTCATAAACCCCGAGCATCTTAGTGGCATTATCGCCTAGCTTGGGGTGAAATGATGAAAAAAAATGTTTTCAAACATTGATTGATATGCAAAAATGGAGTAAGGGAGGTAGAAATATTTAATATTGTATCTGTTATTTTCTTAAAGGAGAAGAAAATGACGGTTATAAAATTATAAAAAAAAATAAAAGAAATAAAAGGCAAAAATTACCATATTTCTGTGTCATTATAAAGATTAGAATTTATACCCAATACATACACAAGGAAATTATACGTGACAGAAGTAGTAACGAAATTATTATTTACGGCTTATCAACGTTTTGCTGGTTATTTAAAGCCAGAAAATATTTTTCGACTGTAAGAATCTTTTGGAGATAATAATTATTTTAATGATTCTCGCTTTTACCAATAAATCCAATTCTAACCAATTGCTATATATATATATATATATATATATATATATATATATATATATATATATATATTGCCATTTCGAGGATACCAGTCGATATCGGTTAGACAATCTCTATTGCAGACGCTTACTCAGCAATTTTTTTGTGTTTATTCAACATCCACTCAGCCCACCTATGGTTTATACTGCAAGTATACAAAGCAAATCTTAGTTACTGTTTCTGGGAAAGGGCGTGATCAGAAAGGCCAGCACGCTCAAAGCCTCAGCCACGATGACTAGCGACTTCATGCTAGCACAGAGTTCCATCTACCAAATTTAACTCATAAGTGTCAACCTATGTTATGGTTTTCCAAAGATGCTGAACATTACCCTCCGATATCTGGAAGTCTCCTTCCTGACAAATCGACCATGGTGAGATTCGACCCCGTGTCTCATGGTCAGAGTGTGAGCATGTCCATTCAATTTCGCTGATGATGAAAAAGACAGTCGAAGTGACAGAGAGGTGGTTCTACAGATTTCGAATACTAAGGACTGAACATGTGAGCAAAGAGGAAGTACATGGGGACTGAAAGGACACACGCTTTAGTCTTTGGAGGGATTAACACATTGACGGGCGATCAATAACTCGTAGCTGACAATTTTCATTATGATACCGACAATGAATTATCTAGTTTCTTGCATTTTTTTATATATTTTCTTTCATCTGCAGTCTCTAACAAGGGGTTTATTCGCAGTGATATTTGAAAAACTATAAATCAATACATTATTTTCTTTTTTATCTAACTTGGCTACTATAAATTTGGAGTTCAAAATCAGATTTCGTAACTGACCTCTGACGTGTTAACATTCAGGGGACATACGGAGAAGAAACAAGACACCTACCTAACGTGTGAGTGTAAATGAATGGCAGAAGATGGTCAAAGAGGGAAGATAAAGTATTAAAGCATTTAGAGTAACAAAAGTTAGGAAGATGTGGAGAGCCATAATCTCTATTATTATATGGTACCTAAATGAAGGCGAAAAATAATAATGCTCTTTTTGCTTATTAAGTTAAAGCCTAAAGTTGAAATAACGGGCAAAAAATGATGACAAAGATGGATGGTAATGACGTCGACGTTGCCCAGAGAACAATACGGGAATAGAAGCTGTGGAGAATAATAATCGCTCTTATGGCATACCATGCCATAAGAGCGATAAATGTCAACGAAAAAGAATTAGACAATATACCCTGGCGTCAAAATAACTCGTATATGTGATGGGTGAAAAACGAGGAAAAATAAGAATGTTAAAGAGCTAATCATTGCTGAGAGGTATAAAGGAAAGGAAGATGTGGAGAGTCATAATTGTACACATGATATAGTTACATAAATGAAGTCGAAAAAGAATTAGACAATGCACTTTAAAATAAAAATGAGGGTTATGTGTGAATGGATGGAAAACAAATATAAATAGGGGAAGACAGGAGTTAAGTATTGCTGAAAAGTACAGGGGAAAGGAAGCTGTGGAGAGTCATAATCACTACCATGACATGGTATATAATAAATCAGACAAAGCAATCTAAAGTCAAAATAAGGTTTATGTGTGAATGGAGGTAAAACAAGGAAAATAGAGAGAAAAGTGTTAAATATTGCTGAAAACTGAAAGGAAGATGCGGAGAGTAATAATCAGTCACATGTCATGGTATATAATGATTTATACCATGCAATGTAAAGTCAAAATAACATTTATGTGTGAATGGATCGAACACAAGGAAAAATAAATAGGAAAATGAGTTAAATATTGCTGAAAAGTACAAGTGAAAGGAAGATGTGGAGATTCATAATCGAGAGTAAAACGCAGATAAATGATAGATGGTAAAGAGTTAAACATTACTGGGAATTACAAAAGGAAAAGAAGTTGTGGAGAGTCGTGATAGCACATAAAAGAAGAAGAAAATGGATTATATTTCATTTAGTTTCGTCAATGTGGATGGCACATGCAATGCGAAAAAAAGCCAGCATCTGGTAAGAAAATACGTTTTGCATATTCCAAAATGGCTGTCAGCCTCGTTTTCATTATTTGCTTTGTTTGTGATTCGATATTAAATAAAAACGGAAGTCTGGTTTATTCCCAGAGGAGTAAACAAATATTATAATGGCCCGTGGTGTATGAACCGGGTGCGTAATAATCTGACGTTGGAGTACATGCATTTAAATAAACTGAGCGCAAAGAAGGTGTGTAATCTATAAATATATATATGTAATATGAGATTGGTGCAAACCTTTCAAGCACCATCTTTTACATAATTTTAGGGAAATGTTAGAAGTGTCTTTGACGCTTACTTAAATCTTTATTGCTTGTGTAATCACTCAAATTTTATAGATCGTTCCCACATCTTCAAAAACATCGAAATTT